GTCTTAGTATGGGCAAAGTTTCACATCAAAACTCGAAACTTTGATTTCATGGGAAAAATGGGGTCCCATAGGCAAATTCTAGTAAAAAGTCGACATCTCAGCCAAATTTCAATTTGGGCCCATACCCTCTTAGACTTTTTCTAGTCTATATATTCCCTACTTATGGACAAAATTTGGGCTCAAAAGCTTTTTAGCACCTCGGAACGTTCCCTCGTTGGATGATTAAGATAATTCACTAAATAAGACTTACAATTTGAGAGTAAAAAAAAAAGTAACTAAAATATAATTGACAATTATACTTCTTCTTTTTATTAGAATGTAAATTCGAGTAAATATTGAACTATATTTAAATAAAAAACAAAACAAACAATATCAATCACTAGAAATTCTTTTTTCTTTCTCTTCACATATAAAATACAATGAATCAAAAAAAAAGAAAATGATTTGTTCATTGATATACTCTGTTTTTTCCTACAATTGCATAACGAGACAAATAATAAATCTAGACATAATTGTATTCAATAGAAATTTTTCAATAAACTAGATATATAAATTTTGATTTTAAATTTTCTATAATTCTTGTTTTTTTTTTTTAGATCGAACGAAAAAAGAAAATCGGGATAGACAAATTCATTTTTTCTTTTTTTGATTCATTGTATTGCACAACATTAACAACATAAATAAACAACTAACGACATATAAATATGATTTTTTTTTCTTCCATTGAAACAAAATACAATAACAATAAAATGAATAATACTAAAACAAAATATTTTTATTCTTGTTTCGTTTCAACTGTTTCATTCGTTGATGGATGATCTTCATAAGCAAACATTGTTGTCCAATCTTTACAAATCAATGCTGTTATTAATGGAAAACCAACACAAAGTGGTACAATATAAAGTAAAGCTGGTTGACCATGTTTAAATATTTGAAGTATAAGAATTGTTATCATTAATGCAATAATATATGCAATAAATGAAACATTAAAATAAAGTTTAGATGTTGATTTACGTGTCATATCATATCGAAGCATTAATGCAATAAATGCACCAGGTACAACAATATCACCTAAATATAAGATTAAAAATAAAAAAACAAATTATTTCATTTTTTTTTTTTTATTATACCAAGTCCGAGCATAGCAAATTTATTTGCAGCAAATAATCCATTTTCAATTAAATCTTGAGGAAAAATTAATTTAATCGGTGCATCAAATGATTTTGCTACTGTAATCATAACTTAAAAGAACAAAAACAAAAAAATGAAAAATTTAATTTAATTTATTAGAAAAAAAAAATCTATCATTACCATTAGTACCAAAAACCCAAAAGATATCATAAATGAATAAACCACCAAGTAAAATACATCCATTAAAAACTCTAAATTAAAAAGTAAAAACAAAGAATATTTACAAAAATAAATTAAATCTTTAATAATTACTTATTAAAATGAAGAATTTCAATTGCATTTATTGAAAAAGCAATACCAAATATATTATTACTTATCCAATGACGTTTAAGTAAATACCAAACACCAATTAGAACACAAAAAAATAATGCAATAATATCAATAAAATTAAATTTAAAATCTATATGCATTATATCATTAATTGAAGAATTATTTTCCGATATTTTCAAATGAAATTGTCTTTCACGAAGTTTATTAAATAATGGTAAATGTATTCGAGTTGTAATAGGATGTATGGCACGAAAAAGTGCAATAATTCCAATAAGAAAAAAATAGATATTTAAAACAAATGTTATATATTCTTTTGAAACAAGTAATATAACAAGATAGATACCAAATAAGAATCCACTTGCAATAAAAGGAAACATAGCCGCTGGAAACAAAAAAAAAAAAATTTTTTTTTCTTTTTACTTTCGTAATTTTAAAATTTTTATTTATATTTACCATCTTTAGCTGTAAGTACATCAGGTTTTTCTCCGGATTTCTTTTGTTTATCTTTATGTATTATTGATCGAAATGAACCAAAATAAACACATAATAGTGCAGCAAGAACAAGAAATGAATAGGATAATAACATTCCATCAGTACGTGCAACAAATATTTCTTTTCCTGTTGTATTTGTTTCATTAAGAATATCAATTGTATCAAGTAATGGTGATAGAGTTTGATTTTCCGTTGATGCAGACATTTTGTTTTTCGTTGGAAATAATGAAATGAAATAGACTCTTGTTTATGGTAATTACTTAGCTTAGAATGAATCGATCGATCCACGACGCACATTTTTCATTCGAAGTTGAAAATCAACCAATTATTAATTAAGATAGATGTCTCTATGTCCACCAAGAGCAAACAAATATTTATTTTCCACGTAAAGATTAATAAAACACAAAATAGGAAGTATGACTATACTCGTATCTTAAGAAGAAATGATTTACTTATAATTATTACAATAAAAAAAAAAATATTTTTACATTGTCATAATTTCAAATGACTCGTCAAAAGTTTGTCAGATAAACAATCCGCTTTATTATAATAGTTGATCGCGAGTTTTCTTTTCTCAACACATAACTCGAAATTGTTATTTGATGTCGTAATGATCTAAAGATCTAATAAAAGGTTTTATATTCTTATTTAGCAATGAGTTCAGATGAGACTGTACAGAGTTCATATCATGAGCTTTCTACAAAATCGAGTGAAGAAAACAGATTATCTCTATGGCGGATCCGATAGTACAGCAATTGCCACCCCGTTATGAATAGAAATGATAAGAAAACCTTTAGAGATCGTGATTGAAATTTTTTCTGAATATGAGAAATTCGTCAAAGAATATTAACCTTGGCTGTTAAATATAATGCCAATGTTTAATAGAGTTATGTCTAGAAGTTTTGAATGTTCAAAGGAGAACAATGAATAGTAAATAGAACATGAGAATAATTCATAGTATATCATTATCACTATCATCATAAATAAATTTGTTTGGATATAATCTTCAAACATGATTTTACCCTTCAAGTATTTTTTTTTAATGTTAGAAATAAGACTTGATGAATAAGTTATGATATATCTTTTCTCTATGTATAGAAATAAAAGTTGATTCTGTTATTGGTGAACTTCCTAAATGTAATTCGCCTCCTTGTAAAAACCCTTATCTGTCTCAGTTATTGGTCCTTATAGTGGTTTTTGATTAACATCAATATTAATATATATATATATATATTATTTGAAATAGTAATGATAATCATGTATAATGACAAATATTCAAGAAATGTATTCTGATATTTTTTTGCATGTAAAGTAATGGCGAACTCCAAGGAGAGAGGTGAAAAGAGTAATTATCATTCATTTCAAGAAGTTTTCGGTTTTTTTCTAGCAAAATTAAATAAAAAATCAGAGTTTATACAATGTTGTTTTAAAAGATTATTTTTGACTATGACTACCTCTTTCGATCGAAATTAATACTACGAGTCATTTTAATATATGATTTAGCCAATCATTAAAAAGGACAGATGGCATAGCTATTATGGATCATTGGTGTTATCAAAAGTAGTGTGTCAATATATGTACAAAAATAACACTTGTTGATTTAATAATACATCCCATATAACAGTTGTTTAAATATATCCATGACAAAAATTATCGATCAAAAAATTCAGTCTATTATTCAACAATGTGAATCTTTATCTATTGATGATATTGAAAAACTTTCAAATTATAAAAAATTAAAAGCTATTTCTTCCATTAAACCTCGAGGAAGATGTGATATTTATCTTGTACTTGCTATTATATTTGGTCTATTAAGTGTATTTACCACAGGCATAACTCATATTGGTATTGAACATTTTCTTGAATATTCATATAGAAAAATATTTTCAATTGATATTTATCGTGAAGAATGTCTTGCACCAAAATTTGAATCAATTATTGATATATTTCGTCCACCAACATCTTGTGATATTTGTCATAAACTTGATCATATTGAACGTGTATCAAATATAACACGAGAAGAATTTGAAGAAAAATATGCATATACCAATCGTCCTGTTATTATAACTGATGGAATGAATGATTGGTTAGCAAAAGAAAAATTTAATTTTAAATTTTTTAAACGTCTTTATCGAATGAATTCAAGTGCACTTCGAGCTGTTGAAGAAAATTGTCAATTTTTTCCATATAAAAATAAAAATGAATTTGAAACATTAGGAGATGTTTTTGATATGAATTTAGAACGAGCTTATATGATTGATGAAGATTATCGACCATGGTATGTTGGTTGGAGTAATTGTGATTATTCAACAGCTTATCTTCTTCGACAATATTATTCAAGACCTTATTTTTTACCTGAACAATCAGAATCCAGTAAACTTGATTGGATTTTTATGGTTTGAAAAAAAAGAAAAATTTAATTTTTAAATTAAATTTATGTTTTTTTTTTCTATAGGGTACACCAGGTTTGGGTGCACACATGCATATTGATAATGTTGATTTACCATCATGGCAAGCACAAGTACGTGGACGAAAACAATGGACTCTACGGCCAGTACCTGAATGTTTATTTCAATGTAAAGAATTTAATTTTATTGTTGAACCAGGAGAAATTATTGTTCTTAATACTAATGTATGGTACCATAAAACATTTGTAATTAGTGAAGATGAAATAAGTATTACCATTGGATCCGAATTTGATTAATTATATGGTGCTAGTTTACTTCCTTTTTATTTTTTATTTTTTTCTATCTAGTCAATTCATATAACCTTTTTTTTTTTTTTATATCTATCGAACACAATAAGACTTTTTTAATAAGACAATAAAATTTTGCAAGTTATTGCATTAATTTATTAAACGAAAATTATGATTTTCGCTTTTTGTTCTCTTCTTAATATTATCCTAAGATCCAATGTGAAAGTTTTCTCTGTAATTAACTAGTTTTTTCAATTTATAAGTAAAGTCTTTTATTCTAGAGAAAAAAAAAAAAGTTAACTAACTCGAATGATATTTTTGTTAGAAAAAAAAAAAAAAGATATATTTTCAATTACTGGTCTTGCTCATAAAAATAGTTATATGGTGGTGGTTCTTCATGATTATCAGCAAGAGTTGATGTAGTACGTGGTATCATAATAGGTTTATTCCAAACTGGTTGAAAATTTTCATCAGATAATTGTTTAAAAAGTTCTCCTTCTAATTGAATTATTTTCATTTCGATAAATGTTTTCCATACTAATGTTATAATGGTTGATACTAAACAAACGCTAGCAAATGTTGTTGCTAAAGTAAATAAATATAAATAATCTTTATTTATTTATTTTTTTTCTATTCATAAATATTATGAACGACTTACCAACAATCAGAAAAGATATTCCATCACTGGCATGAAATGAAACATACATTCTATCAAGAATAAATCTTCCTGGTGTATGAAATTTTGTAAGTGAATTAATGATCAAGATTGATCCAAGAACCGTTGTAACCAATAAAGAAAAAAGTAGGACAATCCAAATAACAACATTAATAGATCGTAGATAACGATTATTTGTATTATAAAGTATAAGTATTAATAAAGCCCAAGATGGAAAAATTGCTAAATGAGCAAGATATAATGTAAATGTTGATAATATAATGATAACAGTAAAATATTCAGGTCGAGTTTCTTGTATCCATGTGTCACATTTAGTTATTGGATCATGCAATTTATTAACACAAATAGACCATAAACCAAATGAACCATATTCAAGTAGGTCAGAATACTGCGTTGTTTTATTGAATTGTCTTCTTATACTACGAGTACCAATTGATTCATATGAATACCAACTATTCGAATGAAAACTTAATAAAAGCATTAAAGCTAAAAGCATTATAGAAAAACTAATAAATAATGATGGCCATTTTAAGATAGAATAATCATTGGCTGTACTAATCATAGCTGCAAATTTGCGCAATTCCATTTTGTTCTTTTTTTATGAACTGGAAACGTTATTATTTCTCACATTATACTAAAAATGATTGAAAAAAAAACAGAATATAAATGAATAATTATTTACAATCATTCATTCCACGGTTTGGTGATCACTTAGAAACGAATCAGACTTGATATGCATCGAAAAAGAAAAAGAAGCACAAACGTAACATAAATAACAAGTCAGAACTTTTACTTGACGGAGATATTCTAACGTTTTCCCATCGTTTGGTATTCCTTTAGCACGTGCTCCACCGTTAATTAATAGTATCATTATAGCTGGTGCTCCTTTTCATAAAAAAATGCTCCACACACTAATTAGTGTGTGGAGCATTTTTTCTATGGAAAGGAGCACCAGTTATAATGATACTATTAATTAACGGTGGATCACGTGCTAAAGGAATACCCCATCGTTTATATATATAACATTTTAACATAGAAAAAAACTTATATGAAAAATAAAAACAGTCCGAAAAGAAAACGAACAAAGCGAAATATACAGAACTTACACACATGCTACTAATTGAAATGTTCCTTTTTTTCTCTCTTCGATATACTTGTTATGCATCAATGATTTACGGCAAAAGAAGAAAAGACGACGAACGATAACTTTTCTTCTTATTCTACATAGGTATTCAATAGATGTCGCTAAAAGTCAACCACCGATTTTCCATGGTTTATCATGTATGGATGTAATTGCGCCATATCAATTGATTTCAATATAGATAGTATATTGAATGTAGTTAACCATCGACTGGAAAGCGCGGCGTCTTTCTGTAACCGGAGCTACTTCTGGGGTCGGATTGTGTGAATGACTTGCGGGCGGGAGTCCTGTTTGTCGTTGCTCTATGTTGATCGAGTGTCCGCACGAAGCTTGGCATCGACATGGTGGGAGTTGAGGAATCTCTCCTTCCAGGGCGTCTAAGGAAGGTTGAACCGGCTGAGGCGCGAATATGCGAGCAAGTCAAAGACCTCATGTTGAGCAGTCGTGGGATAGCGCTTGTGAATAGACAACGATAGGCAGCCCGTCCAATATAGTTGGACCACAATCTGTTTTTTTTAAATAATCTAAACATAATATAGCAAGACAAAACAAACTTTTACACAAAAAAACATGTAATATCAGTGCTACACTTAAAGTTATTTGATGTAAAAATCAACTAGATGATATTTAAGTTCACTCCACTGCGAAAGGCGGTGCAAAGCTCGAATCTCGACTATCAAAGAAAACAAATAATCGTTGCTACGATTATTTATATAAAGTTTTGCGGCATGAGATATTAAGAAGCTACAGATAGATGAGTGATTTTACAAAAACTTATCAGAATTTCAAATTGACTGCTAAAGTTTCAATTAAAAAAATGTTTAAAGAAAAAACAATCAAAAGACGAGAATATTTATCCGTAAGACTGAAAAATTTTCATGTTTATGACTGCGAGATATCGTTCAAAACAAAGAAATCGAAAATTTGTTTTAGTATTTGTCTAATAAATATATATTCAATATAACTTGACGTAAATCTATGAAGCGAATAGCTAAAATTTTATGTTTCAAATACAAAAGACTCTCTATTTTCTAAATAAGCAGGCATAAAAAATATTCCGAAAGTATTTGTATATCTATATAGTTTATATAAATTACTTCGATGAATCATTCAAATTTTTTTGTAGATCAGAACTCACCGAGATTGAAAATTAGGACGACTACAACTATAAAAACGTTTATAACGGAAACTCTTGTAATTCTTTTTCTTCCAAAATTTTACAAAAAGCTTCAGTTTATAGTCTCATGAAACGACATCACTAAAAGTTACGATTATTATGATCGTTTTTTTTTTATATTTGAGAAAATATGATTGTGAACAATTTACACAAACTGAAATCAATACAGTATGATAGATCTTAAGTATAATCAACAGAAATTATGAAAGATAATATTCCTTAATATACCAATTTGATTTCAAAATATAAATTTTTATAATTTTTAGGATAGATAAAAGAAATGACAAGATTTATTTCTCATTTTTCTGTACGAAAGTTAGTGTGATACTATTTAATTGATCATATATATTTTCATGCAAATGTTTCACATAAGAAGGACAAGATATTTTTTTTATTTTGGATATTTTATCATTTTCTCACATGACTTGAATCATGTCAAATTTATGTCAAAAGGAATAATCGAAACATTTTAACGATTCAAAAAATTAACTTATTGTTAAATATAAATCTGATCAACAAACACAGTCATAAGGTTCAAAAGATATGGATACAACAGCTGCAATTAAAATTGGTACTCATAAACAATATAGTAGACAATCTATTTTTGAATGTGTGCAAAAGAAAAAAACAATAAGTATTAATAATTAAAAATTTTATGATACAAAAAAAAGAATATTGCACAAGAAAATGCAAGTAGTGATCTTGTTCCAACGAGAGATGAAATATTATTTTTATTTAGGTCTACTTCATGTTCCAGTGCATCTACATACATCAATTCGTTGGTATTATCAACCGGATGCGTGAAAAGATCATAAAGACACAGGTCTATACTAATCAAAATTTTATCTAATTTAAAATTTTGATGATAACTGTAAATTCTTACATGATCGTGTTTTGGTTATAAATATGGATGGCAATTGAAATAAGAATGCAATCAAAAATTATATTATGGAACTGTCGATGAATACAGTCAATGATATTTTATTGGTTGTAACTGTGACAATCATATAAATCGTTCAGCTGATTGGAATACTTATTGATCTACGTATAAATTTTGTTGTCATCGTCACCAAGCTAAAGAAAATAAGGACATATAATGAGGATGTAAATGAGCTAATTTCATGTGAAAATCTTCATTAATTAATAGTTTATTTAATGTACAGTAAGATTCAACACAATCAACCCATGATATTCTACATGTATTTTTACGTAAAAATACTTTTGATTTATTTGAATGTGAGGTTCGTTTAAAATTATGTTTTTTGGAACAGTTGGTTTTGATGATCAAATAAATAAAGATGATTTATTTAAAATCATTAGAGATTTTATTGATATAGGATTTCAATAAGATTTTAGGTGAAGAATTTTAAATAAAAAGAAATTTATTCATGGTTGTTTATGATATCATTAATATCCAACAGAAACAAAACATTAAAAATTAAGGATTTATTGAAAAAGTTAAAAATAAAGAATTTAAATTAGAAGACACAGAAAAACCGTTCAAAAATAAATTCTTTAATACATCTTTTCGAATGTTTCTTTTATTTTATAATTTCTTTTGGATAAATGAACAATTAACAAATATTTTGAAAAGAAAAATACATAAATGTGATGTAAGATGTCATAATTGAACAAAAAATTGCTTCATTGAAGAGCAACGTAAACATTAGAATATGAAAACAGTGAAAAAAAGGCACAAAAAAAAACAAATAAACTAGATTTTGTTTTTTTCTCAGGTTTATTCTTTCGAATGATCTTCCGAGAATAATAGTATACCCTTTATGTGTGCGTTTTGGTATTTTGTTTTTCATTTTTTCTTATACACATAGATACCATTGATATATATCTCGATTATATTTTTTGTTCTGTAATAATTTTGCAAGCACAATATCTTCGTCTTGTTCTTTTGCTAGTTTTAACACTATTCCATGAGATAAAAATTCAGCAAAAAAATTTATTAACTTGCTTCAAGAAGTCGAACAATGCAAATATCCTTTTGTTACAATAAGTAGTTATAATTCATCAATTAGACGTTTTCAATAATAAATATGGAACATCACGATGAAGATGATAACAATAATAATATGAATGATTCAAATATGAAAGACAATTTACGTATTGTTAAATATAATTTTGATTGACAAGCACAATCACGGTATCCCTAAAAAGATATCGACATATTAGCTACAATTGGAATCAATATTGAACAACAATATGATTAACAAGCTATTTTGGAACGCACATAAAAAAAGAGTAATAAGGAATTAAAAAGAAAAGTTGTTGGCACAACCTCTGCCAAATTACAATGTGAAACATCACGTAGGTATTCTTGGTAGTTGCAGGTAGATTGTTTTATTGTATGAACTTTGCGACACACTTCTTCATTATTCATTTAATCAATCGTTCAGCATTGTAGTCAGGGGAATTAGCTCATATATTATAATTGGATGTTATTGATGTACGGTGGAGGAGTTCGTTCAATTTTCTTGCAATATTCTTCTACACTCCTTCATTATTACTAAATAGTTCATTAACGAGATATCGATTAGAATTTTATTAGATATTCAAACAAAATGTTTGTAACGATATGTAGGGAGAATAAGTAGAAATTATTATCAAAAATTTTATTAGAAAAAAAAACAAATACTTCATTGCTTATATTTGATTTGATGGTTTATTTTTATTTACCTTCTATTCAATAGGTCGATACAGATATAATCAAAATTTTATCCAATTTAAAATTTTGATGATAACTGTAAATTCTTACATGATCGTGTTTTGGTTATAAATATGGATGGCGATTGCAATAAGAATGCAATCAATGATATTTTATTGGTTGTAACTGTGACAATCATACAAATCATTCAGCTGATTGGAATACTTGTCGTTCTACAACGATACGGCGTTGTTATCATCATAAAGCTGCAGAAAATAAGGACATATTATGACCTATGGTCACACCAGATAGTACTTTTCTGTTTTTGTAATGTAACTTTGTCTATCTTTTTCTTTCTCTCTCGTGTTCTTGCTAATCTATATAAATGTGTGGGTGTGGGTGTGAGTCTTTAGTGCACTTACCAAAACTCACACCCACCCACACCCTCTTGACTTGATCTGTTGGGTTTTCCACACTCAAAATGAACTACCTTAATAATAGAGGTATTTTTCAGCATAATAAAAATGTTTGCAAGACAACTTTGTTTTGCATATGTTTCGGCTTGAGAAAATGATAACGTCTTGATTTTTTTTCAAAGATACGCTGTTAAAA